ACGCTGGTTTAGCAGAAAAAAAGAAACTAGCCCATTACAAATTGCCTGAAAGTAAGCCTCCCAGGTAATCCAGGAGATGGTGTTCATAAATAATACTTTCACTTTCAACTGAATTTAGATGTTTACCCATCCTTTAATTTTTTTTTCAGATACCTACAAAGTGACCACCTCAGAACAGTACAGGACTTAATGAATAATAGTTTCTATAAAGCCCAATATGAACTAGTTGAGCAATGTTTCAAGGTCATAGGTTTTACAATGGAGGTAAGTATGAAAGACCCTTGAAACTCTTGAGAAAGTACCTTTTTGTCGTCACTGATGGTAAGAGTTAGCACTTACTGAGTGATTAGTACATGCCAGGCACTGTGCTAAGTGTTTTATGTGAGTCATTCTTACAAAGTAGCTAGAATTATATTTACTTTATAGATTAGGAAACAGTGGTCTTGACATATAATTGAAGTTGGTTTTGTTCTTAATCTCTTATTTTTTATTTGTACCTCCACATATATGTATGTACAATTTTATGTAAATGCACAAATATGATCATATTACTGGTCTTTTTTTCCACACAACTTTATTATGATACCACATACCATTCAAGCCAGCCATTTAAAGTGTACATTTTAATGACGTTTAGTATATTCACAGAGGTATGCATCCATCACCATAATCATTTTTAGAATATTTTCATGTTCTAAATTTTTCATGTTCTAGGACATTTGGGCTTACAAGGGGTTTTCAATCTCAAAAACATAACAACAGCTGTTGGATACACTCACTACTTATGCTATAGTATTTTTTATTATCTGTATTATTGATTTCAATTTTATTTTTATATTTTTATTCATTTGGTCATTTGGTTTCTTTTATTTTTCATTTTCTTAAGGAGAATACTTGCTTCCTCTATTTATATTTCATATTTAATAGTGAAGGGTTTTAGGGCTACAAATTTATCCCTGAGTAATAAAGATACTTTCTGTGCCGTAGGTTTTATATATTAATTTTTATAACAAACTACTTTTGTTTAATAGGGACTCCTAAAGGCTTTTAAAGAAGCTTTCAGACTCTGCTTTTAGCAATTTATTGTTTGCTGTGTTAATTCAATCCTGCCATAAAAGGATGCTGTACTCTGAATCTGAGTCAGGCTTTTAGATGAACTCTTCAGGAAAGTCCTGTGAACTTTGTTGGTTTTTTATTTTATTTTATTCTCACAAATTACATCCCTGCAACTTTAAGCAGTTGAGATGTTGTGAAATATTTGCAGAGTATCTCTCCTGGCTTTAGTTCATTTGCATATCCTCACGGGTGGAGAGAAGTTCATCTCCGTGTCAGTGGGTAATTACCTGGGCCAGGAGGGCTTATGTGAACCTGAGCGGTTAGGGGGAGGTCCTTGCTTGCTTCTGCAGGAGCAGGAGGGAGAGACGG